CTTGATCAAGTTACAATGTGGGAGATCACCACATTAAGTGGGAAGTAAGATTATTTAGAGAAGATAAGTTTTTCACAGTATTGAAGGTGAGGACCAGAAACTCTCCTTGAATGTGTTGTAGGAGGAGAGGCAGCTAGCAGAGGGATTAAGGAGACGATTTATTTCACCTGCCTTAAGTCTAAACTGTCTAGTCTGCCTTTCACTGTTGCTAGAAAGTAAGCACTGAGTGTACCTCTCTCCCTCATTGAGTTACAGGAAGAGCTTGGATGACTAGCTTACCACAGGCACCAGAGAGAGGTGAGTGCAATCTCATCCCAAAAGGGGACATAATAGATCAGAAAGATAGGATGGAAATGATATCTGAGCATTTTTGCTTTTGTAGATCAAGGAAAATATGGAAAATCATACACTGTCATAGAGCAGGAAGAGATTCTAACCATTAGTATCAAAGATAAAGAACTTAAGGAATCTTGGTTTGCTTTAAAGATTTATATAACTCATCTCAGAAGGAAAAGGCAAAAGACAAGAATGGCAGAAAATATGATGGCTGGTTCAAGAGAAAATAGGGGCAGTTGACAAGGTTTAGAAAGGAGCTGAGCTTGAGCCATATTGAGTTCATGCTGAGTTCAAAACGTAGAATGAGAAACATCAGAGAATTTTTGTTAAAATACAGATCAGGCACAAGGAAGGAACACGAAGGAATAGTATGGCTTTGTATTTTTACTTTAAGAAAGCTGTGAGAAGAGAGCACATTATGTAAAAAATAGAAGTAGAGAAGAGTTACAAGCCAAAACCACAGTCCTAAGTAATTCCTAAATGAAGATATGGTTATTCTGCACCTATGTCCACAGAGGCAATAGTATGGAAGACTTGGAACAGTAACTTATGTACCTTCGCTGTGTTAGTAAATTGCCCACTTATAACTTCTGAGGAGTCTCCGTTTCTATTTCCTCATCACTTACTAAGCAAAATCAATGGAGTCAGACATGCCTCTTGCAGGTGAGCCCAAACGATGGTGAAACCAGAGAGGAGTTGCAGGTTTCATTGAAAGCACGGGGGAAAACTTTTTAATTTCAGTGGAGCAAAAAGCAAATGCTACTTTTCCAGTTCAAGTCGTCGTCTTCTTTTCATATTTCTGCTCCTAAAAACTAGCTACTATCCTTTATAAAAGCCTTATTACCTGCAATTAGAGCTTTGAACAGGTTAAGAATGACATCATGAGGTTATTCATTGTAAAGGAGTAGGGAACTGTTTGCAGGACAGATAAACTCCACTCTAAATAACAAATATAGCCTGTTAGTAGCTACTCGATATATTTTGTTTAAAACAAGAGTTTAGCAAAGGAACTTACAGTAATGGTGTTTGGGGTCTGCACCTGAATAACATCTCATACGACTGTTGGAGGGCCAAACCTTTTTCTGCGCCCCTGAAATTTTAACGGTTTCGAGGTAGCTACTGATATCTACAATTGCAGCTGAAATAAATTTTCTTTCTTCAGAAATTTCCTTCTCCCTGCTACAGTTCCTGACCTGGTGTTGGTCATATTTACATAGCCTCACTTTGATATAAGCTCAAAAATATCAGTCCTGTCAAGAGGACCAGCTCCTGGGGCAACTCAGGTCATAGGGGCCCAGTTCCGCAGTCTACTCTCAGGCAGATTTATACAACAGCTTTTCCCAACTACAGACTGGGATGTATAAAGGGAATTTGATGCCTCAGGTGAATGATTCCAGTGTATTACCCATCTACAGCTGCCTGGAAGTGCTGTGGTCTCATGTTAGTCAGAGGACAGATTTCTCCTACGGCTAAGCAGTGCACCAGGCTGTGCCGAAGATCTGAGTTTGGTGAGATCAATAAACATTAGTGTATATACTGTATATACAGCTCATGCATGCGTGTGTGTGTGTATATATGTACATACTATAATGTGTTATATGTTATGCTATGTCCATACTATAACATTACAGGTAATGCCATAGGTATGAAACTTCACCTGAATTTTTGCTGTTCAGAGCAAAAATTCTCTTCTTGGCCCCTCTCTTGATCCCTCAAGTACACAGGCGGTGAACAGCTTTGGAAGCTCCAGATTATTAAGGACTAGATGGTAATTTGCATAAATTCATACCATTATCATATCTGAGTACTTATGGAAATAAAATTCATAAATTCATGTTAGTTCAGTCAATATATTTGCCTAATTAGCTATCCTTGTTAGTTTCCATGTTGCTATGGTGACAAATCAGTTTCAAAGAGCTTTAGCTTCATCTCTAGTTTCACTGACACTGTCCAAGTATTATTTTCTTATTGGCCAAAATAACTTGCTCATCTTTCTTTCTTTCTTGACTTTTTTTGCCATGTCCAAGCATTACTTTTCACAAAACAACTCACAAGCAATAGAAGGAATGCACACAAGATGCAGAGAAATCCCACACTATTTCCAAACAGAGCATTTTCAAGAAAAAAATGCATGGATTTATCATTTTTGGAGAGATGCTGACAAAGTAACTAGCATGGTTGCATTGAATCCTTTGCACTGAAACACTATAGCTCAGCTACATATTATAGCTCTTCTACTGCTGACCTCTAGAGAGTCTTCCTTAATTGAAATGATGGGATGCGTGCATTTAGAACAATAATCTATATTCCAATCTATATTACCACGACTAAGTAATTACACTGGGCACTGTTTATATAACAATTACTTCCATGTTATAGTCACAGAATTTCAGTTTTCTTGTACTTTGGATTCCATATTTAAAAAAAAAAAAACAAAGAGAGGAAGAGCATAATTTTTATGTGTTTTTTTAATCAAATTTTTTGAAAGATTTTGGATCATGATTTCTTATTTGAGAAAGGTCAGGTACTTGAAAATTTGCAGATTACTAGAGGCTCCATTTTAGATATATTCAGTGTCAATATATGTTTAGATCCAGGACTTTGATTCAGACTCTTAGGTAACTAAAATAGCTAAGATAATATTTTAATCATAAAAATAAAATATTCAAGACTTCAATCAATCGTCATCTAATAAATTACCACTGATAGCAATGAAATACTGTTTACGCAAAGACTCATTAAAGACTTTCTTCTCTTCATTTAAGTTATTGAATGCCTTTGATGAAAATTAAATTTCAAAGTACATAGATTTCTAATTAAGTAGAAACTATTTCAATGCAAAGATTGTTCTTGTTTAAAGTAATCATTTTCCGTATACTAGTGTAACCATAAAAACATATACAGAATTCTACAAGTTGTTTGGTGAAAGCCAAATGGAATTCAAATTTCCTGAGTTTCCACAACTTTTATTTTTGGTCTTTGTTTCAAACAAAACAAAACACCGTCTTCGCCCACTTCCCTTCATACTTGGTTTAACCTATAATTCTCTTACAGTCAATGTTATCATAAATGATATATAGTAGGATTAATCTGATGTAACTTTAGGCAAGTCAGTGTTAGGTAAATAATCTAAACTAATCATGTAGACTTCTACCTCTTTGGGAAAGAGATGCCTACCTCAGAAGCCAGTTTCCCATCAACCCCTAATACCTATTTGAAGATAGAATGCCTGTCTTTACTGACTAGATCATGGGCTTGAACAAGCCACTTTACTTTTAAACGGCTAAAATTAGGTTATTTGAAACCTCCGTATGGAGTCTACAATTGATCTCATTAGTTCATTATGGCCTGTAGATGATGTTATGCCAAAGAGTAGTTATTCATTTTATTTTTAAACATATCTGCTAGTTTAACAGACAATCAGAAAACAGTAGCAATCTAAACTCAGCAATGGATTCCGTTAGCCATTCATCAATGTACTTTTGATATACTTAACTTTTTGTACTAACCTTTTTGTACTAACAAAGTAATCTAGAAGGGGAAGAGCACCCAGTATAGGCTGAGGAATAATCCTCTAACCTGTCTGTTATCTTAGATATGAGTACAGAGAGATCTGAGTGCAAAATATCTTTGCAAAGCTTTATATATCGCATTCAGTGGCCTGAATTAGCACTGAGAATGTACATATATTTATGGATATCTCGTTAAAACTTGTTCAAACTGGGTAACACTATGTCTACTCCTGCAGCCAGAAAGGATTAGGTATATTCAGACTACTTGTTTTCAGAGTATCTACAGTAATATTTCTATCCTTTGGAAAGGAGACTTTAAAATTAAAGCTGGATGATGGTAAAATGGTAAATTAAATATTTTATCAATGTGGAGAAAAGATTCATATTTCTTGTATCAGTGAGATAAATCAGAGTGACATATCTACCCTAAAAAGCTGATAATATGATCTGAGTCTGATGGTCCTGGACATTTATTAGCCTTGTATTTCTTCAACTGGCAAATTGTTCTGTCTGTGCTTCCTGGAACAGACACAAAACAACTAACCACTCAAGCTCATTACATTATTACAGCTAATAGTAACTTTCATTTTGCTGATCCAGCTAGCCCAGAAGTTTAATTTTTACTGTTTCAAAGAAACCACAGCCTATTAGTAGGAACTAATCAGCTCTACAAATACTTCAAAAATGGACTTATTGAACAGCATGAAGATAAGTGGAAGTTCTCTGCTTCCTTTGCTTTTCTTCCCCTATAGTTTATATTAGATGTTTTTGCATTCTAGTCTTCTCATAGGACTAATAATTGAAAACATCCTCCCTACATGGGAGCAATTTTCTCTACTGGAAATATTAACAAAAAGGAAATTTCAAGAAGGCCAGATGCCTTCAAAGCTTTCCTGTGTGCAGCAGACCTCTGGGAAATGTTGCCTGTGCTCAGCTTAAATGAGGGAATATTTCAGTTTTAGTGAACACGACATGTAAAGAAAAAGCAGCATAGATGTAGAGTATGATTTCTGATCCATTCCAGTCACATAGTAGCTACGGGTGTCAAATTTCTAATGCTTTAGTTCTGACTACAATTTGCAACTTAAATCCCACAAAGCAACATGAGCATTTTCATTATTGGTGCACTGGGTAATGCTTAAACATCCTTACCAGTCTGGCCTGCAGCAGAGTCAAATTGACTTTCTGAAGTAGAGCTTTCTGCATTTTCAGAAGTTGCAGGTAATCTAAGATTAGGTTGATCCACATCACTTCCTTCTGGTTGTTGCTGATCAGACCCAGCAGAGCTAAGAAACAAAAGAGGCTTGCTCTGCTGCCCCGCTCCCTGGTAGTGAAAAACAGGGTGCTTTTGATTCTCTTCTCCAAAATGGGGACTAAAAGTCTCAAAGGATCTTCCCTGCTTGTCAACTTTCTCCCTTGGCTTCAGAATTTTCTGAAAAAAAGTGCCACCTGCCTTGCCATTGTATTTGGGCCCATGATTAAGCAAAGGACCTTCGCTCAACAGGTTTTCCAACTCTTCCAAAGTTTGTTTAGAAATTCCAGGTGCCCCCACAAAGGGCTCTCCAGTACCGCTTCCTTGCGTTGCTACAGAACTGTCAGGAGAACTTGCCTGTGTCATACAAAACTTGGCTGCTTCTTCTGTTCCCCCACATTCATCCTCTTTATTCTCTGTCTCTGTCCTGTCAGTGTTTCTTTCTCTATTTGGTATGTTGAAGCACTCAGCTTTCTCTTTGTCACTTGCAGGTAGTACTTCCACAGGCAGATCCATTTTAGCTGGCGTATCTATTTCCTTGTGTATTTTTTCATTCATTCCTTTCCCAGTGTCAGCATTTTTCTGGATTTCTGCTGTTCCCCGTGACATGTCTTCTTCCATGTCACTGCCAATATGGCAACTGTCACTACACCCTCTGTCTTTTTGTACTGGAGGAAAACTAGCCAGGTTTTGAAGAGTCTGATCTGATGATGGTGGTTCTGAATGACTAGTGGTTCCTTGAAGATGATACAAATTTAGGATTTTTGAAGAGTTGGACAGCTCCATTTTCTCATTTGCTAATGGAGGAACATGCTTTGCAGTACCTTTGACTCCCTTTTTCTTTCTGAAACCACATATATTGTTGCCATCAGCTTCATCGTTGCCACTTCCAGATATGTTCTGCAATGAGTAAAAAAATACACAACCAAATAATGTGCATGAATGAAATAGAACAACAGGGGAATGGAGTGCCACCACCAACAGCATTTACCCTGTGGAGCTTCCATTATTTCTTGCTCATGGAGATCTCTGGAAAATTACTTACTTAATTCTACTATTTGGATAATATTGCCTTGCAGAATTCTTTTTCTTAAGTTGTAGAAAAAAATAGTAAAAGATCCTTTCTTAATTGAATTTTTAGGTAGATTTAGTAGATCAAAATATAAGACAATACACACCGTGTGACATCATTTGTCAAGCAAATATGCCCTTTAAATGTGGAAAAAATGTACTTCAGTAAATATATTTATTTATATTCATGCTCATATTAAATGCATTTATATTTATAAATGAAACATCCTAAAAACACAGAACACTGGCAATCCGTATGGACACAGGGACCGAAACCTGAAAGAAAAAAGCAGCTTTTAAAAGAATTTCAGATTCTAATTTGGCCAAATAACTGCACATGAACTCTCAAGGCAGTGGTCAAAAAGGCAAACCTGTGTTTGGATGTGTAAACAGAAAAGAATCAGAAGACAAAGTTTATCTTTATCTATAGCACTGATATGATTTAGACTGAAGAGCTAGGACCAGATTTTAAAATGCGTATACAAAAATACAGAGATGACAGTGCAGAAACAAGCTGCAAAAATGAATCCACTTGCATTAACGATAATAATATCAAGAAATGTCCGGATGATCTTCCCTTCCAAAGGTCCTGGAGTGATTAATCTGATGGTGATAAGGAAAAGAAGAAAGGACAGAAAATTAAAACCAGTTATATTCAAAATTTTTAAAGGGCACAGATTTTTAAATTGTGAGTGATTAATTATTCCACAAATTACCAAGATAAGAATTGAATTCTCCATCTCATAATGTCTCTTAATAAAGACTCTGCAATATGGTTTAACCAAAATTTAAATCATTGGATAGCCGATCACAAATTGTTATATTGCTGACATATAGCTACTGAAGTATGTATTTAAGACTCAGCAAGCTAATCAAAAATCCTTTATTTGATTGGGTCAGGCTGGAATTAACACCTACAAAATCATTGGGAAATCAAGAGATATCCTTGTATCAGCATCTTCAATATACTGATCATTCTTTGCCTTTTCCCCAGAAACACAATCTACACTCTCTCCAATTTCTGAATTTTCAAAAGAAGTACAGATCTGCACAAAAGCAAACGGAATGGCAATCTGGTTAAGGCAAAAGAGATTCTCACTGGCACATAAAAGCATTTAGAAGAAAAGGCAGCAGCATCTAAGGCATACATGGAAGGTAGCAGCCACATGGCTTCCATTAAGATCATTAACACTTTCCTTTTTCTATATTATTCCTCCCTATTTTCTCATTATGTTCACCCATTATGCTATTTTCCATCATTATCTAGTCAAAAAGGCATATAAGTTCTCTCCTAACATAGAGCTCACAAAAATATTTTCTAACTCTCTACCTTGCTTTGAATTTCTGTAATGTGCTGCACTTAATATTGCTTTAGGCGCTCACCTGTGAATTCCTATCAGCGTGGAAGGTAGCTGACTGCCAGCTCTTTAGGTACGGGAAGCGACTCTGCCTAAAACTCCCGTGCACGTATCTCAGTAACCACTTGCTTATGATGTCTACGTGGAATCATATATGGTTACTGTGTCATACAGAATAGAAACTTTTGCTTACCTTGTTTTTAATCCTCACATTTTAATTAATCTCTTTCTTCATCAAAAAGCTTTGGTGTATTCTCATAAAATAACATTTGGTGTATTGCTGACCCCTTTGCACATTCACCTATGCAGAGTAGGCCTAATTCTTACAGCTCTGCATCATTACAGAATATGAATATAATGAAGCAACCCTCCTGAATAATGAAGCAACCAAAAATTAAGAAGCATTTTAACACCGTCATTAGTAATACAAGAAAGTGAATGAAGCTGCAGGAGGAAGAGCGGGAGTAGAGGAAGCAGTGTCTGCGAAATGGAAAAACTCAAATCAATTTGAAATTAAAAAAATGTTTCAAATTAAATTTCTAGATCTATAAAGAAAAATTTTCGAAAGAGAAAGAAGAAAAGAGAGTTCCAGCTATGAAAACTATAATCATGAAAGATCATATTTTTTTAATGAATTTATGAAAATATTTCCTCTAATACATTTCATGGCAGAGATTGCAATCATTAAAATATGTGGATTTCCTCTTTATGAAGACTTCAGAATTCCTTTGTTTTCTTTGAAGAACTTGAAACCAATAACATATTCATAACAACATCTACATTCTGTATTATAATGCATTTCCATATTCTCTGATCAAAAATAACTATTGAAAAATTGGAATGGTAAATAACAGGGAGATGCATGACCCAGCTCTGGCCTTACATCCTTATTGTAGATCTCTGAAAAATATTCAGCATAATGACTGAATGAAAGCTGAGCACACCTTTAAAGTTGTGTATAATACTCACACTCTGTGGTCAGAAAAGGAGTAGTTTGTGTATCAAACATACAATGTCGGAAAACTGCCTGTTTACATAATTAGCCATCCAAAATGCTTTCATGAACACAGGTTTTCTATAGCCACATTATAATCCCTGCCAAAACAAATTCCTTCTGAATAGAAAAGAGCAGGACAAGGACTGACCGCTTGTAAATTTGTTCATGAAAACATTCATTTGTAGTAGAACATTCTAATTGCTAACAGGGGTATGGTACTCTGCAAAGAGCTTATTGTCCCTAAAGAAATTGAGTGTGCTACCTCATTTTTATCATAGATGTGAAAGGGGAACTGTACCTCCTGTGCTTAAGCAAAAACACTGAACGTTTTTACCTTTAAAGAATAAAGAATCTTGCATTTATGCAGAGAACAACCTATGTATTACTTAAGATCCTCAACACAGGTCACACTGAAACTTTTTCTTTGCCTCTGCATAAGAATTTCTTCACTTATAAATAAATTTAAACATGTATGGACTTTCACGTAGAAATCCTTTATGGTATTTTCGGCAGTGAATTAAACAGAGCTACATTTGTTGCAAGGTACAAACACAGCATTCTTGCATACGAAAGACAGGCATATTCATGAGTTCTGATTCTGTGATTCTGAGTTATGACACAGGCTTACTGCCTAGTAGTTTATGTGGTGCCTACCATCAGAAAAGGTCTAGTACCTGAGCACAGAGTGGAAAGCACCTGGGTAATTGCAATTGTTTAAGAATTCTCTCTTTAACTTTTTGTTTGTAGAAAGTTCTGTTCACAGAAGAAAGGGAAGATCAAGTAAAGCAGCAGCTTGAAAGGGTTACAGTAGAAGTGAGCTGGATACAGATTGTTCATTTCATGGAGCCATGTGTCCTGCTGCTCAGAAGGAAAAGCAAAACGGTCATGGCATTAACGTGGCAAAGGTAAGTTCTAATTACTTTTTATTTCATTGCTGAATATTGCTACATTTTTGTCACTGTGTGGAAACAATAGCAGGAGATACTTAAGGTACCTGAAGGTTCTTTTTGGTTCTCTGCAAGGTGTGCTCAGGTAAAGCTGGGTAGGAGGATGTAGAAAGAAGCAGGAAAATGGGAAATGGATCCAAAGGGTAGAGGAGTAGGGGATTGTCTCTCCTCCTCCTATACTATGAAGCAATGGAAACAATCTTGGAAATTTTATCCAACATTTGTCTGATGAGTGGCTTCTTTTGGGATCATTCATTTTTTATTTGCTTGCTTTCAAATATTTACTGGCACCCTGAGTCAGAGGTCTTGAAAGCTTTGGAATTTGCTTCTCTTTCCTAGCTAGTGAACATTCAGGTAGTATTTCAAATATTCTTGACAGAAAAATTATGTCGGAAATTTAAACAGTGAAAGCCACATTAATTCAACAAATCTGAAATTTAGATTTTCATTCTAAAACATGTATCTGATGTTAATTGTGATTGATAGGTATTGGTACTCCCCCAAATTCTAACTTCCACCCGAACCTCTTGCCCCAGTGCTGCAATGCCTGCTGGTACACTGATCCCCTGTGGAGATTTGCAGTTGGTAAGGTTTTGGTAGAGGTGTACCAGTCCAAGTCCCAGCATAGCCAGGAAGAGCAAGGATGGAACATACTTAATTTCCCATTATTGACAATCTCAGCTTATATAAATACCAGTTTTGCTTGTGTTCAGCAGATATCTCATGTCTCACTTTGGGTGCACAAGAGTCTGGACGTTTGTGACTATTACCAGAACAAAATCATCAAATTACAGACAACGCGTAAGGGTTACGCTGATGTATTATAGCAGTGTACTAAGGCAGCATGTGAATAACCAGAACACTAGAATATCTTTCCTTTTAGTTCCTTTATGGCAATGGCAGGTGGGAAATTGAAAGAATAGAGGACAATATCAGCAAGCAAATATATCAACACCGCACAGACGAAATTGTTTGCTCTGCTTAACCCAATTACATGCAAGTTCTGGCTTGAGGACATCCTCAAGCTTCTACAGCTGATAGACATTTTATATCTTATGGTAACACAAAAACCATACATATAAAAAAATTTTTCTTAATCAATTTGAGTTTACTTTTAAGCCTTGAACAAGCTCTGAAGTGGAATTAACTATATCATGAAATATAGCACTACAAAAGGTAGTTCATCTGTAAACCTGCCAATCCACAAGCTAAAACGATCAATCTGAGAACATTTGGAAATGTGAAGCATTGCCTTCGGGAGGAAGTGCTGAGAGTTCTGTGTGTGAAAAACAGGTGAAAATTCAAGGCAATTCTTGAACTTTTACCTTAAAAGGATTCTACAGATGACTGAAAATATATCTGTAATGCTGTACAAGACAAACTCAGAGGTTGCAGAGGGATGTTTCTATTTTTCTCCTACTTTTTGTTTGCTTCATGACCTCCGGCAAGACTGCAAACACTACAGGGGTTTATAAAACTCTCTCAGAAATGCATTGACAAAAAGAGATGGGGAAATGAGAAGAAAGCTCACATGATAGCATTTGAAAGGAAAAAAAGGACAAAGAGAAAATAGTTTAAAAGATTCCCTGAGTAATCGTAAATGAATAGCTGCAAAAGGAGTTCTACCACAGCAAAAAAGGTGAAGGAGGCAACTATGCAGTGGTAGCAGGAGCTATTGTACAGCTAATCAACAAAAAAACCTAATGTTCTTGCTACTGGATGCATGCACTTAGCAAAATGCACTGGCTTCTCAATCATGTTCTTGTTTTCTGTTTTCTTTCATATTATTAGCCTATTTAACTGATCTTAACTGAATATTAGGAGGTCAAATTGCGATGTTCTCATTCCTCAGTTGTTGCTAAAGATTTGTCAAGGATAACAGATCCATTTTGCAAAAAAAGTCAAGATGTCAACATCTGGTGTTACTAAAAATTAGAAAAACTAAAAATTCCACATAAATAGACAAGTAAAAAATTTAAGTTTTACTAGGTTGAAATTTTTGTTTATGAACAGATAAACTGTTTCACTTGGGTTTGACTTTGTTTTTTTAGCATATAAAACAGTGTTATCAGGTCACCCTTTACAGCTTTCTCGGGCTGGTATGGTCATTTTTAACTGATCTTTTCTTGTAGCAACAAATCTCAGCAACGAGAAGTCAAGTCTTAACAAGAGATGCTCCTTAAGTCCTTACAAATAGTGCACGTAAAACATATATACCAGCATCCAGTTTCTTTCTTTGACTCTTCCTCTGGCAGATGGAAAGAATTACCCTGCAACTTCATACCAGTATCTAGGCAGCAAAGGAGGAGAGGACATTGGAACAAAATGTCTGCTGCTGTAAATTAATGCTGCTTCACTAAAGTCACTGGAGCTACACAAATTTATACCAGGAGAGAATCTGGCCCACTGAATCATACAGAGCCCCAGAGAACAATACAAACATTTCCAGGGGGTAATTCCAGGCACAGAAAGGGATTTTGACTCTCACATGTGCTGCTAGAACTATAAACAGACACAGGTAGTTTGCAAGCTAGAGACATGGAGATCACAACTCGTTGCCAAGATATTGCTGTAACTAATTTCTCTCTCAGTGACCTTGTTTGATTAAATGGTTCTTTGAGAGTGATTTACTGCTTCAAAAATTTCCCAGTGAAGGACCTGCAAGTGGCATAAATATTAGGTACGTCGACTATTTTGCAGTTAGAAAAGCTGAAGTACATACTTGCTATAGGTCACAGGGAGGTGTGTGGTAATGTTAGGAGCAGAAAAAAAGTCTCCTTGCTTCTCTGAAACTTTTAAATACGCTCCAGATTATGTAATGTCCTTCATGTGAAAATGAATGAATGAGTTTAACTCACAATACCTTGCCATTTATTTTCATATCTGACATCTGCCTTTATCCGTTACTCCCATCCAAAGCCTTCATACTACATATGCAATTATTAGATTAGCTTCTCAAGGTCATTGATTCTCATGCTGCTTCAGAGCAGCAGGGTTGTCTTTGTCATGATGGTGAGGTTACTTGCAAATTCTTTCCCTTGGACTATGCCACCCGCACCACGTAAAAATTGCCCTAAAGTAAGATCCAGTCCTAAAATGAAGAAGCTGATCCTGCCTTCACTGCGATTTTAGACCAGAATAGTACACTGGTGGTGTCATCTCCAACTTGTCGCAGCGTAAATGAGATCTAAGAGCAGAATCCATTTAACACTTGATTAATCCTCTGTCTGAAAAATATTTGGAAGGAAAATGGATTTAATGATCTAAAAGACTTTTATATCTAATTTCTGTGACTCATTTGTTATACAAAGACGGTCCAGGAGGCAGTCAGTGACTCAAAGTAGGTGTATCTCTGGCGTATAAAGTATTCATTTGTTTGCCTTGATAAAAACGTCTAGTAGCCTCAGGAAGTCTGCCTGCACCATTATTCCAAGCCACATTATATCTTTCTCATTATTTTTAATGAGATACTTCAAATTTATTTCATGTTTTCACAATAAGATCTCCTGCACCCTGTTCAAAATAACAAGTAAAAATCCACTTTTACTTTATTAAAAGTTTATATTGCAACTTGAGGATCAGAATCTGTTTTAAAATACACTCATACAGAATCTGAGTAACGCCGTTTAGATCAGTAGAACTACTCAAGAGAGTCACTTTTTAATTCAGATCAAATCCTGGTCCACAAACTACAGTTCTTTCATTTACATTAATGAAGCCAAACTGGTTTCCCACAAGTGTTAATGGGATCACATTTTTGAACTCTATTTCTGTTACTTTTGATAAATTTATAAATGGAAGACATAAGAAGTTAAAATGAGTCAGATGGGCTTTTCTAAATTAAACTTGTTTATAGGCTTATACAATAAGTCTTTCTTTGACCTGCATCTGATTCAGAATAAGAATTGCATGCTCAGTACACATGTATGAAGAGCCTTGCACACAAACTACAATGAGGTATCAACTCACTTGAAATTTTGGAGATGCAAAAAGTATTTTATATCAGTATGTTTGTTTGGAAATCATTCACAATCAATTTCTTACCTGCTGAGAGACATCTTCTTTTTTGTCCATGTCCACTTCATTCTCGTTCAAGTCACAATCAGAAATGGCCTAGTAAAAATCTAGTAAAAACACATCCCATATTTATAGCCAGAGTTACAATAAAGGTTAGTTAGAACAGAATTGCTATAAAGTTCTTTTCCCAGAAGGCCATGGCAGATGATGAACCATAAAGAGCAACCCTAATGTGTCATGGCCAAGAGCACAGTTTTCTGGAACAGTGTTAAAAGTAGTAAACTGACAAACACACATTATTAGCTGACTGCCTGCCTGGAAACAAAGACAACTGAGCATAAAACTGTTTTGCTCAACTTTTTTCCTCACAAAAGGTTTTTGTCCTGTAATGAACCATTTTTATTCTGGAATAGAAGCTATTGTTAGTCTCCTTAGAGGAAAAACCTATATTGGGCATTATAACAGCAATTTATTATTGAGGCACACGGACAGGAATTTGAAAGGCAACACACATTGCAAGGACAGCACATAGCACTAGCCTGTTATTCCACGTGCTTGTATGTTGCTAATTAATACTGGAGGATGTGGTTGTATTAGAATTGGGGGTGTCTTTTTTTTGCATCAGGCCTCTAAAAGATTTCAAAGATTAAATAGCTAAGCTTGGCTTTGTTATACTTTTCTATTTATCAGATTTAGCATGAATTCAAATGATTATGTTTAACTGACATTTCATCTGTTCAAGTCCCTTTAGCTGACATAACATTGGAGGAGGAGTGTACTACGTGCACTTACAGCAGGACCCCTGGCAGCTGATCACTCAATAAATTGATTTAAATATCACATTAAGAATAGCATTTAACCCTGGCAAAACTGCAGCTTCATTAATTTCTTACACTTTTTAAAAATGAAAATAAAAAATTGAGTTTGTTAAAGATAATTCATAAAAAGAATGACTATGGGTTATGAGCTACAGCTCACAAAAATCTTGGGCATCTTCAGTGGAATTTAGAAATAGGAATGCTCAAGTCCACAACTGTCATTCTGAAAATCCTTCATCATCTTGAAGGCACTGAAAGGCCACAGCTCTTAACTTTGTGACCGCAACTGCTTAAGTCCTGTTATTACCCCTGTTCTGAACTCTATCGCTTGTCCCAGACAGAGCAGGTCAACAACTGGTTAATTCCAGAACTGTATTACTATTCCATAAACAGGCTTTCTTTTAAACACCTGACATTCTGTCAAGCAGAAATTAAAAAAGGAACACCTAGCACACACTGGTAGGACTGTGCTCCTGAAAGACAGACGGGATGGAAGTCAGCATTTTGCTTGCAAAATGCTACTCATGACAGTGAAGCCTGTGTTCAGAATACTTTTTCTAAAAAATTGCCCTCAGACTGTCATCCTGCAACAGTTACCACAATTGCACAGATCCCTTTCTCAGGCAACTGATAGATGCTACAGACCTGTAGCTTGTCATGTGGCAGAGCTGCTTGTCACTATGCTTTGATTAGCTGTGCCAAGAAGAGAGCACTTCTCAGTAGGATTGCTTAGAGAAAATACTGCGAGAAACCAGAGGCCAGATAGAAACAGGTCTCCTGGCTCTCCAGCTTTTCATTTTGAATGCAAGCCTAATAAACTTCAGCTCAAAGTTTGAAAAAAGATACTCCTCAGATAAAAAATCTCATTCATCAGAGCAAGAAAAAATTATTCACAATGAGGGTGGTCAAACACTGGAACAAGTGGCCCAGAGAGGGTATGGAATTGCCATCCTTGGAGGTATTCAGCACTTGACTGAGCAAGGCCCTGAACAATCGGATATAACCTCAAAGTTGACCCTGATTAAGGTGGTGGAGCAAATCTGATGACCTCCAGAGATCCCATTCAACCTAAATTATTCTATGATTTTACACCTGATTCATTCATTCATATTTTTTATTAATTTTCACTACATTTTTGCAAGTATGAAGCATCTCTATCATGCTTTCCATTCTATTTTACTCTATTCTGCTAAAAGTCTGTCACAGGAAGACAGTTAGGATAAACTATGCCTTAAAGAGAGTACTGTTTGAGACATCAGTCTTGAAAACACCATTAGTGATGAATAATGTTTTCACTAGCACGGGAAGGATAAACTGTTCCCATCTCAAGTGCACATTAGATTCTCCTAAAAAATACTATCTCATTTTGTTTTGGTTTCTGGATAGAGTGAAATACGAGAAGGATAGTATTCTCTACCACTACATGTTTATGAAATGCTGCTGAGTTCTGTAGAGCTATGCTGATCAGAAAAGCTGAGAATCTGATCCAGAAACTGATGGAAACCCATCCACACGCACCATGACACACAGAATATAGCATAGACAGTAGTTTGTTCAGTAATTTCCCCCACATCTCCCACCTTCACAAAGAAAATAAACTCAGCCAATTCTATCGTTTCTGCACAAGGAATATTCTTGTGTTTGTAAAGAATTTGGCATCTATATATGGATTCAGGAATAAATTTTCTCTCACTAAGCTTTTTTCAAAACTTGCTTTCTCACAGACTTTTTGTATTGCTTTGTAAAAACAAACTTCCCCACAATCTTTCCCCCAAAAAAGTTCCAGAGACAAGGGCATCCTCGAGGGAGATGAGAGGGAGAAGTATTTTGTTAGTATCTGGTAGAGGGAAGGGAAGATAAAATGAACAGGATCATGTTTATTTTGAATATATCAATGTGTTCTGCTTGAGAGGCTTTTCTCTTAAAAGTAGGCATACTGTGAATGATAGAAAAGTTGATAATTTTACAGAAATTTGGTATACCTAATTGTAGTTGACTGTGCCTAGAGTGAATGGCCACCATTACATGAGATGTAAAGTTAATTGGCCTAGAAAATGAAGACAGGCAGAAGACTCTGTTTCAGAGTCTCCTATAAGTGATGAATTCCAGATCCTTGGAAACCCAGTGTAGCAGCTACTTTGGCCACCAAAGAAAGAGTCAGTCTGAAGTAATGACTACTGTTAGATCAGGGAAGCACCTATGAGAAACATCCTTGCCACTCCCATGACACTAACACTGATTCCTGGTGGATGGAGAACCTGAGTAGACCTGCCCTTCCAGGTGTTCCTCTACCAGCTGCCTCTCCCATCTTCTCTCTCCTCCCCTTTTTCCACTTCTTTCGATTATGGAAACACCCTTGCCAGGCTTCAACCCCTTATGTCGTAGCAGCAAAATTCAGTTTATCTTTCTTGCTCAGAAACCTCAAGATGGTCTCAGTCCTAACGTTAACAACATAACATTGTGCTAAAAAATGTTTTTCTAGCTTATACTAGCTATGAAATCATGTTTAACATTGTTATTAGTAAATCCAGCTCCTCAAGGGTGTGTACCGGGTAACCTAATATTTTCATAGATACATGTTCTTTGCAGCATCACTGGACAGGGAGCCTCAAAGACCTGCCCATAAGGGGCGTTCTCTGGACGAGGAGCAGAGACTTACACAAAATGTTCCTTTTCTTTTTAGAATGCACTACTGATAGCATAAGTTTGCACAATTCTTTGATTTAAATATCCTGGGCTTCAGCTGTAGTTTATCAAATATTAATCTAAAAAAGCAGACACTTCAGAGAATAAATATAACATATACCAACCATGACAGAAGCAATATCTTAATACTTTAACTACAGATATTTTGTATGCAATGTTTGTGATGAATAAGTGGTAATGAGAAAGTGGAAACTGCTCATTATCTCATTTGTGGCTCTTCAGTAGCTAAAAAAGACATAGTTTCTCTGATGACAGCTATTGCAAAAAATAACTACAGATTCAGGGGATTTCTCTGCTGGCTAGCTGCCAATAACATCTCTGCATATAATTTGCCATCATCATGGTTTAGAACTATTCCTGATTCTAGCTAATGATGTCAAGTTTTTTGCACTTGTTTTCTAAACAAGAGATAAAAATCACAGCTTGTAATCTCTACCCAGTCAAAGTGGTTTTCCAGAAGGGAAAAATTCTTATATATTTTTATTAAAAATTGGTTTAAATAGGAAAGAATCAGGCCTCAGGCATCCACCAGGAGACTCTTTTTTTCCTTATCAGTGAAGGTTACCTTCAGTTTTTAATTTCAGGGGGTCCTCTGAAATGTCTAAATTTTTCAAAGGAAACTTACCAGAACACAGATTTCCTATCTGGGATAGGTCCTACATAGTGCCTGTGGCTTCCCAGGTTGAAGGAAGGGAGGATTACATACCGTGTTCTGCTCATGGGCCTGGAAAAATTCTCAGAATAATTTTATCACTTCCTTTTATGATCTAATTTTTATGGGAAGTAACCATGACCATTTCTAATTCTTGCAGGCATGCCAAAATATGCCTATCCATCCCAGTTGGCTTCAAAGTAGTCTTCTCCTTAGGGATACCTAAAGTAGGTAACTAAAGGTTAACAGAGGAAATGGTCAAATGGAAAATTGTTTCTTCCACTTTCAGAATGTTTTTTTAAAAAGTCATTTTAAAAGCTTAAAAGTAGTAGCATAACATGCTGAGATTTCCAAACAGTTGCCAACCGGCTACTGTTAACTAACATCCACGCTACACTGCACTATACAGCTATACAAGCTAAGATGGATTTTGCATAGACCTATCTCAAGAGCTTTTCATTACAAAGACTCTTGAGCCCCCCAGTTCCTAGACTGGCAATTACATAGCCAGCAAAAAGAGATATTCACTAAGTCTCTTCCTTACCACCATAAAGCTATTAAATGCTGTCCTAACACCTAAAGACTGGCATTACAAACCTAAAAGAGAAATCTGAATGTCAAAAATCTCTTTAGGAAAATCTAACCTAATGTGTTCTTTCACCAATAGGATATATTTCTGTTTTTACCCCTAGTCCTGTGCCTTGCCATCATTATAAAATAACACTGTATTTTGTCATGCAAGAAGAGTCTTTTTCTTCTCTCATTCTTCACAATTGACATATTTTTCAGCATCAAAACTTGAAGAAGACTTCAGCCAGTTAAGCTCCAGTTTATATGGCCACCTAGTAGAAAGTACAGAAACAGAAAAATAATTAGAACTTGCTGCCGTACTGATCCTTACTCAGTTACTGTAGCTATCTTTCTGCTAAGCTCTCTTTCAGGATTTTTTCACATGGTTTTTCTTCCAGCACTTTCACAACTGCCTTCACTAAATATGATTGCAATTATCTCATATCCCCGCACTAATTGCCCAGTGCCTCTTTCTTGATTTATACACCTGTTAGGTTGCTAGGCATGCTACTGTGAAGAGCTACTCACTCCACTATTTGCAGATGGCAAAAGGTTGGCATAAATGGTACTCACGGACAAGAAGAGGACTGAAAAATTGGCCTCAGGTGTGTTTAATGAAGTTAAGGTACTTTTTGTATGAATGACATCTATAAGAAACCTTATCAACAGGTAATAAGCATTTGTTTCTGCTCATAAGGACTGAAATTGTCAGAATTGTTGATTACTGGAAACTGTAACATTATTTCTACTTGAAATGGTGCCTCAGTGTATATTCTCCATCATTTAAACATTAAAGTGAAATGCCAGACATTTTTATACCTTTCCCAGTTCTTGTTCTTTCACGTATAAAATGTGCAAACAAAATATAGGGACCTCTTATTCATTTTATTCCTGAAATCACAGCTGATTTATTTGCTAGACTGAAATTTAAAATTACTGTTCAAATAATAAAGAATCACTGATTAGGAGATCATGAATAGTCTGTCATTCTATGAGTTGAAGTGATATCTTTAAATAAACAGCCAAGCCCTTACAAGTTCATATCATCCCAAATAGGAAGGAATCATTTTTTTCATCCTTTCATTGCTTCCTCTATCTTATTAAGTGACCTGTTGCTTTATTTTTTGCTTTCTTTCTTTGTTAAAAATAGAATTTCTCTTCCACTCTTGATGTCAGGCTGTTCTTCATATATTAAATAGAACTCTGGCCGAAAGTCTTTCCTTGTACATCAGCTTTAACTTACAAGGCATTTTACTTCACCTACTCTTGCATACACCTGTCAGTGAGGTAGAATCTAAAAAACAAATGACAGAATACTGTTACTGGTTTTAGACAGGGGATGAAGAATATTAGATTGGAAACAAAATGAAACCATAGCTAGAACAAGAATTCATGCTCCACTAGCCCTGCTTCATACGCCTTCCTCCCCCTCCTTCACCACCACTGTGGCAACACACACTCCCCTGGCAGTCACATGCCACCGCAAGGCAGATCTTACAGAGGCCAAGCAGTCGCAGAGCTGTGCAGCAGCTAGAAATTTGGGTCAGTCATTTCCCACGCCTCTTTTAGCACAGCCGTACACTAGAAGGCCGCCTGCCTCACTGCATGAGCCCATGCACAGCTTGCCACACAATTCAGTGCTCAGATATGACTGTATCCTGCAATGGGGTCTGGGGATGGAGACCAGCAAGCAAGGCATGAGATACACCTCCCAGTGAACGTTACGGCTGCACTGGCCCCTGCAGACTATAATTAGCAATCTGATGATTAAATTAAAACAGGATAACAATGCTTGAATTTCTAACCCTGCAAAAACTTCATGCAAACATTAGTAACTATATTCCAGTTTTATACAAACATTAGTAACTATATTCCAGTTTTATAGTTATCTATATAAGGCTGTCTAGCTATGGCACACTCTTTGAGATAAACAGGAAGAAATAGCACAGCAGAAGCACCAACACCATCTCTGCAATAGCTGGGATTTTGCACATTGATCTACCATCCAAATCCCTGGCAGATATAACAGATCGCACTTGACTCATGAACACAAGTGTCACAAGCTGAAATGCTGTAATTACAGATCATTGCATCCTCTGTAAAAGTCCTGCTAGCTCATTCTAGAATCCCACTAATTTGGGATGGCCATGAACCCATGCTAGAGGAAGGTTAGACTCTTACTACTGGCTGTCAAATGAACCATGACCAGTACAACATATCTTGACTCTTGTTATCTAGCATATTTTCCCCTGTAGCTTTTTTCTTTTCCCCAGTCAGTCTTCAGAAGCCAATTCATTTTTTGCCTCGCAAATCCATTCTACCTGAAGAATAGGATAAATTCATTACACTTCAGCTGCCTACAAGTTCCTATGCCTCTTGCCTTTGCCTCTTCTATGCCCTCCAGGGTTTCACAATAAGATACCTATCAAGCCTTCAATTCTCCCTTGGTAACCTAGGCACACAGCCCTGCCTGCTGTAGAGAAAGGAGCAAGATGACATTAACTGCCTTGACCTTCCATTTAGACTTAGGAAGGGAATTTGGGTAGGTTCAACAAATGTCATGGACAGAATCACAGAATCACAGAATGCTTGAGGTGTGAAGGGACCTCTGGGGATCATCTAGTCCAACCCCCCCTGCTCAACCAGGCTCATCTAGAGCACATTGCACAGGATCACATCCAGGTGGGTTTTAAATATCTCCAGGGAAGGAGACTCCACAACCTCTCTGCACAACCTGTGCCAGTGCTCACTCACCCTCACAGCTAAGAAGTTTTTCCTCAGGTTCAGACGGAACTGCCTGTGGTTCATTTTGTGCCCGTTGCCTCTTGTCCTGTCGCTGGGCACCACGGAGAAGAGTCTGGCCCCATCCTCTTGACACCCTCCGTTCCCACACTTGTGCACATAGCTTCAGATACTTGTACACATAGCTACTTGTACACATAGCTTCCAAGTTCTTCTAGGTCAAAGCAAACAGCAGACTTCAAGCTGCCATTGAAATGCATTAATACTACAATAAGAGGTGCTCCATGGCAGTGTAGTGGTAAAAGAAGAAAGATCCTCCAAGTACAAGAGGAACAGACTGGTCCAACCACCTCGCAGCACACAAATATTTCAGCCTGCTTGGTAGATGACTTGTCAAGTATTTTTGATGAGGGAGTAGTGACTGTTTCATAGTATGGGATCACGCAAATCTCTGAAAGTAATGATGTATTCCACAGGAAAATTAGGAAGCTTAGTACCTATTCTGAGACTGTTAACAATATTCATGCCAGTCATTCTCTAGGTGTGAATTTCCTAATTGCCTGTCCAAAGAGTATGTGTACATGATCAATAAGCAGAAATTAATCAGTTCTACTATTTTAATTTGTTCTTATAAATTCACGCAGCTCAAAGAATTCAACCAAAAACTGCATATTTGCCCACACTGTGCACTTGCTTGTAAAAAAATCTGTAGTACTTGCTAACTTTTGGGTCTTTCTTAGGTTACATCTAGAATCTTAATATAAACTTAAGGGAAATTACCTTTAAGATTATCTCTAGAACAATTTTTAGCATTTAACAGATGAAAAGGAACTCTGCACTGGTTGATTATACTTACTTTAAACCTTTGTGGTTCTGCTGATTAAAATTTGACCTCAGCTTTATTAGCCTGGTTAGCTAGATGCTTTTGATGTGTTTGCACTATTGCACTCTAACCCCAGCCTTCTTTATTTTTATCTCTTCAGTAAATGTGTCCACTTTGAAAACAAATTCTCTTTTACATTATTTCTATACAAGTAACTCTCTGGGCTACCTCTTCTAATCATATATGTTTATTCCCTTTTCCCTAGTAGATTATTTGTGCTGTTCAGTCAGAAAGAAGCACATATTTTTCATTTGTTCAAAAACATAGTCAGCCAGGATACTGTAGATATGGTTTTAATTCAACCTGTGCCTGAATGTATTTAAATGTATAGTTCTCACCTCCATGCTAATTCTCTCAACAATTAGGCAAACAACTGCTGTTGCAACAGGAATGGATGACAAAGGTGCTTAATCTTTCTTGTTAAAATTGTTCCACTCGATGTGAACTGATTATAAATTCATTGTGTCGGATAAAGAGATGTATAAGCATAATTCTGTTTATCACTGGTGAGGGACTCCTCTAGACAGAGGTGCTGAGTTTAATCACTGCCTCAATGAAAATGATACATTTTATGTTGAATTCTTTTCTATCTAGCCTTTATGCCAAGAGGATTTTGAATTCTATTAGCACAGATGGTGTAGGGTCCCTTCCCTTTGAATGGATATTCTTTCACTCCAAGAGGGTTACACTGTGACCTCAGTTGCACCAGCGGAATCCAATGACATCTATAGGATTTCACCTAAATAACTGGGATGACATTAGCAACTATACCTCAAACCAAACGGCTCAGTACTTTTAATGGTTACATTAAAAAAATGCATCAAGGGCCTTTCTCTTCTAGCCCCCGTAAACACAGGTCTGCAAGCAGTAAAGGAAGGATAAAAGTCATTCTAGCTATGTTTAGTTTCATTTGGACATACATGGTCTACAAATGCTTTCCTGACTAGGAACAAGAAATCTAAACCAATCAGAAGAATACAGGGGGAAAATGATCACAGTTGTAAAAATGTAACTCATATGACTTTACCCAAAATTAATCTCTGAAATTTAGTTTTTTTTTCCATGGATAACTGAGATTGGAATATGGTTTTGAATTGTCATGTTTTCTTGAATTCCCACAGGAATTCCCCATAGTGTAGAAACATATTCTTATCAACACGGAGAGATATTATGCCAAATGTCACAATAACATTTGCATTTTCATGGTGCCCCAATGCCTTTAGGCAAGACAATTTGAGAATCTTAGCATTCATTTGAGATATATATTTCTAGCTCACATTTTCAAGAAAGCCTTGAAAGCAAGCCAACACAAGAGGAAATATTTTCCTTGAGAGTTTGGTTGTTTCAGGGTGGGGTTTGTTTTGTTTTATTTTTGTAAAGGCATGTGCTATCTAAGCCAGCCTTAATTAATAAACAAAGGTTTGTATATTGTATGTGAAATCACTTATGACTTCATTTCATGATGTTATAGTTCAGACTCTGTCATGCCCAGCTTTGCCACTGATACTAATGGGTATGCCTCATTTATTTCAGTGACTGAGTCAACACTTTTTAGTCCATTCTGATCTGATCTGCACTGCGGTCTATAGAGTGCAGACCTGACCACTTACTGCACTGCTGCATTAGCTCCTCTGCTACCCACACACC